CACCCTTCCCCTAATCCTCACCTATCCCTCCTTTTTCTCCTTCCCCCAACCTCTCCTCTTCCTCCCTCCCTCACCCCTTCCCCCTCTCCTCCCTCCCTCCCTTTCTCCCTCCACCCCCCCCCCCCCCTTCACTTGCAACCCTTTCATCGCAACCTTTTGCATCGGCCGCCTAAACATGCGCGGGAAGGAACGGGAGAGAAAGCACGAACGATTTTCTGTACGGGAATGTGTGCTCGTCTTTGCCATCACACGAGTCTCTCTCTCGTGTGTGTGTGTGTCTACGTCCGTGTGTGTGTCTGTCATTCCAGGTCTTCACCTTTTATCTCCCTTTTCTTCTTTTCCCTCTCTTCCTCTTCCTTCTTTTTTTCCTCTCCTCTTTTCTTATTTATCTCCTCTTCTTTTCTCCCTCCCCTTTTCTTCGTACTCCTTTCCTTTCCTTCTTTCGCGTTTTTGGGGCCTTTCCTCTTCTTTCGCCCTCCCAACCACCGCCAATCTCCAGCATCTTTCATCTCCCTCTTTATCCCTCCCTTTCGCTCTTCTCATTCCCCTTTCCTCATCCCCACCACCCCAATCTCCTTTCCCTCCCTCCCCAATCCTCCTTCCCTTCCTTCCCCTTTCCCCTCCTCCCCACTACCCCAATCCCCTTCCCCTTTCCTCTTTCCTTCCTTCCCTAACCACCCCAAATCCTTCCCCCTCCCTCCTCACCACCCTCCCGCCCCCACCCCAATCCTCCTTCCCACCACCCTCAATCCCCTTCCCCTCCTTCCCCTTTCCTTCCTCCCCCCCCCCCCTCCCCTCCTTCCCTCCCCCTCCCTCCTTCCCTCCCCCCTCCTCCTCCCTCCGTCGCCCCCTCTCTTATCTCCCTATCACTGGCCGATAATTTCCGCCTGGGATCCGACCTTCGTGCAGCAGCCCTGCAATTTGGCGTCGACGTCGGCAGCCTTGTGGTTATCGTGTTGGGCTCTGACGCGCTCCGTGGGCGCTGCCCTCTCATCCCCTTCCCTCGCTCTCCTCTCCTTCCCTCTCATTATCTTCATTAGCATTACCTTTATCCTTATCCTCCTCCTCCTCCTCTTGCTTTTTTTTTCATTCCTACCTCTTCTCCCTCCTTCCCTCCCTCTCACCTATCTCTATCACCCTCTCCCTCCCTACCTACCTCTTTCCTCCTCTATCCCTTCTCTCCCTCCCTCCTTCCTTCCTCTATCCCCCTCTCCCTTCCTCCCTACCTCCTTTCCTTCCTCTATCCCCCCTCTCCTTCCCTCCTTTCCTCTATCCTCCTCCTCCTGGAGCTGTCTTCCTTTCTTCCGCGCCGCCACCATCTCCACGTCCTTGAAGGAGTGGGAGGGGGTGAAGGAGGGGAAGGGGAGGGGAAGGGGGGGAGGCAAAGGGAGAAGGACTGAAAGGCGGAAGAACAATCAGACGATGGGGGAAGGGGGTGCGAAAAGTAACGCAGGGGGGGAGAAGGAAGGAAAGAGGAAAGGGGAAATGGGAGGGGAAGAAAGGGGGGAAAGATGAGTGAAGAGTTGAATTCTTCATCTCCAGTGCTGCGCTGCGAACCTCCCCCCCTCTCCCCCGCACCTCCTCATTACGTTAAGCATTTTATATCCATCGAAGAGGACGGTGAGTGTTCTTGCAATGACGACGCTGCGAGCAAACCGGAGGATTCTTCGCAATTCCCTATTGTCGCTTCCCATCGTCTGTATTTATCTATTTATTTATTATATACCTTTCTTCAATCTATTCATTTTCATTTACTTGTATCATTTTCTTAATATAATAATACATAAATATATCTTTGCAATCGCGTACGTATGTGCGAGTGTGCATATGAGTACGCGTTCATGTGTGTATGTATGAGTGCGTGTGCGTGACGAGATTACGGGCACTTGGGTTTAATGTCTTTCTTCGGCCGACTCTGGAATTCTGATTCGGCCCGACGCCCCGGAATCGGCCTTCGGAGGAGACACGCGGCGCCTCGCCTTGCGGATTTCCCCCTCAAGGATATGGCGGGGTTCCTGGGGTTCCTTGGCCTTCCCGTCCCCTTCCTTCGTCATCTCCGTTCCCTTCCCTCCCTCCTCGTCTCCCTTCTCCCTCTTTCTCCTCATTTCCCTTCTCCCTCCTCTCTCCTTTCTCCTCGTCTCCTTCCCCTCCTCTCCCTTCCTTCCCTTCCCCTCCTCCTCCTCCTTTCTCCTCGTCTCCCTTCCCCTCCTCCTCCTCCTTTCTCCTCGTCTCCCTTCTCCTCCTCCTCCTGTTACCCGCGCTGGCGAGGGGGAAGGAAGGGGAAGGAAGGGGGGGGGGCGTCTGTCGCCTCCAGGGGGCAGTGCTTAATGGTCTCGCGTATGAGGTGGGGCGAGGGGGGGGGGTCGGGGGGGGCTGACGCAGGGACAGAGTAAGGGACGGTAGGGTGGGCTCAGGGAGAGGGAGGACAGGGAGAGGGAACTGAGGGAGGGAGGGAGGGTAGGAGGTAGGGCATGTAGGGGAACGGCGAGAGAAGGGAGAGTAGGAGGGTGGAGGGATGAGGGAGGGAGGGAGGAAGGTGGGGAGAGGTTGAGAGGGTGATGGAGAAAGGTGGGGAGAGGGGAGAAGGGTGAGGGGATGAGAGCAGAGTAGAGGAGGGAGGGAGGGGTAGGGAAGGGGGGGGTTGAGGGAAAGAAAGTAGAGGAGATGGAGCGAGGGGAGGGGAAGGGGAAAGGGGCGGCTAGGGGAGGAGGGTGGGGGGGGGGTCCTCGGCACGCAATAAGTGGTACACAGCTCGTGGCTCTAATAAGAAATTCGTCTCATTAGTAAAATTCCGAATCGGGGCGGCGCGTCCCCTCTTTGTGCTGCTCACAAATCCGCCGCCCTTTGATGGTAACGACCGGAGGTATTTATTAAAGGCGCAGGACGCCCGCCTTCGCCCCGCACACCTTCGCCGCCTCCCGCGCCCTCGCCACGGGCGCTGCGGACGGCCCTGCTCTCTCCCTTGCCCTCTCTGGCTCCTGCTCCTCCCTCTGCTCTCCCTTGCGCCCTCCCTCTCTGGCTCCTCTCTGGCTCCTCCCTGCCTCGGCCCTGCTCTCTCCCTTGCGCCCTCCCTCTCTGGCTCCTCCCTGCTCGGCCCTGCTCTCTCCCTTGCGCCCTCCCTCTCTGGCTCCTCCCTGCCTCGGCCCTGCTCTCTCCCTTGCGCCCTCCCTCTCTGGCTCCTCCCTGCCTCGGCCCTGCTCTCTCCCTTGCGCCCTCCCTCTCTGGCTCCTCCCTGCCTCGGCCCTGCTCTCTCCCTTGCGCCCTCCCTCTCTGGCTCCTCCCTGCCTCGGCCCTGCTCTCTCCTTGCGCCCTCCCTCTCTGGCTCCTCCCTGCTCGGCCCTGCTCTCTCCTTGCGCCCCTCTCTCTGCTCCTCCTCCCTGCCTCGGCCCTGCTCTCTCCCTTGCGCTCCCTCTCTGGCTCCTCCCTGCCTCGGCCCTGCTCTCTCCTTGCGCCCCCCTCTCTGGCTCCTCCCTGCCTCGGCCCTGCTCTCTCCCTTGCGCCCTCCCTCTCTGGCTCCTCCCTGCCTCGGCCCTGCTCTCTCCCTTGCGCCCTCCCTCTCTGGCTCCTCCCTGCTCGGCCCTGCTCTCTCCCTTGCGCCCTCCCTCTCTGGCTCCTCCCTGCCTCGGCCCTGCTCTCTCCTTGCGCCCTCCCTCTCTGGCTCCTCCCTGCCTCGGCCCTGCTCTCTCCCCTGCGCCCCCTCTCTGGCTCCTCCCTGCCTCGGCCCTGCTCTCCCTCTCTGCCAACGCCACTTCTCTTCCGTTCATAATCTCCCTCTTCTCTCTCCCCTTTTCGACCTTCCAAATTTCTCATGTAAGCCCCTCCTATTCTTCCTCCCTTAACTCCCTTCCCTCCCCAACAGCATCCCCCTTCCCAGTGATTCGAGTGTTACTCCCTCTTTGCCCAAGACTTCCCCACACACCCTGCTTTTTTATTCTTCTCTTTTTTCCCTTAGTCTCCCTTTCTCATCCTTTCCTCATCTCTCTCTCCCCTTCCTCCCTCTCCCTCCCCCTCCCTCCTCCCTTCTCTCCCTTTCCCTCTCCCCCCTCCTTCATTTCCCTTCCCCTTCCCCGTCCCCTCTGCCACCCTCTCCCTTTCCCCTCTGCCAAGCAAATCGTCCCGCCTCTCATTCCCCTCATTACCCGGGCCGCATTACACGCCGGCCGCTCGTCACGGCGCGTAACCGACCGACGCCATTGCCTCCCACGCGGGCAGAAGCGCCCCTCACCCTCCCAAATAAAAACTTAAAAAAAAAAAAAAAAAAAAAGAAAAGAAAAGAATAAGCACCAAGCACAGTTCCATGTTTTTATCTGTTTATTTTTTTTTTTCATAGAAAAGTGTGTTTTACTTATTTTTTCCTTTTAGCAAGGGTTGTTGGCAAATTTCAAAAAGTGAGTGGTATTTCTACTCGTAAAAACTAACCCTAAAAAATAGTTTCTTGTTCTTAAAAATGTGATCATATGCAAATCTAAAACTTCTATAATGATCTTTAAGACGCTTAAAGTAGGGAAAAAATAATTTCAAATACATTGAATAATAAAGATAACAAAATGAAAGCAAGAGGGGAAAAATAAATAAACTTCACAACACTTTCATCACCAATCACCATCACCAATATTCAAGGCAACAATAAACCAAAAGGAAAGAAAAAAGAAAAAAAAATCGCACTTAGAATCAAGAAAAATAAACAAATGAAACTATAATAGTGCAGCTGTATTCATCTTGTCATTTTTTAAAAATTATATTTATATTTATGATTGTTATAATAATTGTGTGTTCTAAAAGTTTCGTATATCTTTATTTCAGATTCATCCTACAATAAGAAAAAAATACATATTTATTATCTAATTACATGTATATATGTTTATTATTTAATAAACATAGTTTATTTCATCTTTATTTTTGTTTTCTCTTACTGTATTATTTTCTCTCGAAGATAATAGCAAGCGTTGCAACAGTGCTGATTGTTTTAATCCTAACGACAATCTTCTCTATCTGTCCAGGTGTTTCGCGGCGCCCCCCCCCCCCCTTCCTCCTCCTCCTCCTCCCCTGCCCAGCGAGGCATGGAGCCCTTCACGGCGGGCATCCTGGCGGTCGGGGGCATGATCGCCGTGATGCTGGCGGTCGTGGCTGCCCAGGAGAGCAACAGCATCAACAACAGGAAGAGCAAGAGCAAGAGCAAGGCCCCGCCAAGCCCGCGGACGGAGCTGAAGTCGTCCGAGGAAAAGAGATACTGAATTCGATACTTTTTTCACCCTGTTTTTCCTCTTTCCTTTTTTTCTAATTTTCTTTTTTAAAGTTTGAGATGATGTATTTGAGAATTGTCTTTTTTAAAATCAAAATGATTTTTAGGTGGCATTTTAGGCATTTTCATGTACTTGTCAGTTTGTGAATTTTGTTTTTTTTTCTTGATTTTTTTAAAGCACCGTGAATATATATATTTGTTTTAGTTGCTATTAATTTTAATGAACTTGTAATAACCACATTATTTTTCATTTCCCTTTCCTTTTCTTCCTTTATTACCCACGCCATTAACTATGCACTTCATCACAGTCTCTGAAATATGTCCTGATAAAGCTTGACCAAATTTCATAGCTAATAATATACCAAGTACTTAAATCTGGGGCCTTGGAATAAAAATCAAATTCTCAATATTGAATATACATCTTACAACACTTACAAAACACCAGATAAAAATGCCAAATAAAAGAAATACCAATTCAACCCTTCGAAGAATTTTTGCATTTGTTTTTCGCCTTTTTCATTTCGCACAGCAAACCCTGACTTTATCAGAACTGCAATTTGCAAGTCACCTGCTATTGCAAATGGGCCGTGGACACACGCCAGCGGCTCCTGAATATTAACCATCACACAATATCAACACATTCCTTTCGCTGCGGAACTGTGAATCATTTCTCACTTTCACACAAATCGATTCCAAAATGTCAATCTCGAAAATTCATTACTGTAAAAATGCTTACATTCGTAGAATGGGTTTTACTTTTTTAAACCCTTCTCTTTTAAAAAATAGCTTTTATAATTGAGTCAGAAATCGAAAATTCATAATCTTCACAAACCGGCATTCGAATGTATCCTTGATCTTCCTTTCATTTGTCGTTATTTACAAGACTAATGCCATCTTTGCTCCTTGAAAGATAACACACACAGCGCACAAACCCAAGAAAATCATTCCATTTTCCATTTTCCTCGTAACTTATCAAAAAAGCGTTTATCATGGACCACTTCCGAGAAACGCGTTCCTGCCTACCCTTTTTCGCCAAGCTAGAGGGATGGTGCTCGAAGCATAGGCCTGGGAAGCACGCTAAATCAAATCAGTATATCAAGAGGCGTTGACACATTAAATTTAAAAATCATTTAAACAACAAACAAACATTAAATGCTACATCCAATCATTCAATTAAGACAAACCTTAATTACCTATTCAGTCGTTTAATTAACAAACAAACATTAAATGCAACATCCAAACATTTAATCAACACATACATTCATTAAAGCTGCATTCCAACATATAGGCCTAATCAATAAACATTAATGCTACGTCCCTAAGATATAACTGAATTATTTTACTATTCTGACTAAGATTTATATTTTTCATTATTATTTACCTCATTATCCTTGATTTACATTTGCAATTAATAATTCGGCGCCATATGACCAAGATGTTGCCGCGCCAGGTGTGACTTTGACTAACCAATTAATGCTACGTCTAATCGGCCGATCAACAATCACCAAAGACAAAAATCAAATCGGGTCAGTCCACTCCTTCTCCGCAACTAGGGAGGCGTATTATTTTCAACAATTTGAAGAAAAAAAAAGATGGAATAAGGTGTTGTTTCTGAGAGCACTGCAACGACCGGAGAGTACGACCCTTTCGTACGACCGCCGAGACACTTAATGACGACGACGACTCAAGCCACGGGGGGACAACCAGCGTCGAAAACCCCCGGGGAAGCCCCATGAGTTTCTGTAGGGAGGGGGTGGTGGGTGGGGGGGGAGTGGGAGGGGGAAGCAGGGGAAGTCCCAAGAGGGTGAAGGAAGGGGGTGGCAGAGGGGAGGGTGAGAGTGAAGGAAGAGGAAGGGGAAGGGGAAGGGGATGGGGAAGGGAGGATAAAAGGGTAGGGGGTTCTTCCTCTGAGATATCGGTGGGGTGAGTGAAAATCCAGATGTAAAATTAAAAAAAAAAAAAAAAAAAAATTCTAAAGACCCCCCTCCCTCATCATCCACTGTTTTGAAACTCGATTCGAAGAAATCAATGATAATTAGATACCTAAGAAAAATGTATAAAAAGAAGTAAAAGAAATCAAGAAAAAATCAGCTACAAACATCAAATTTGTTATTAACTTAAGTGTTATTGGGAAAACACTTGTTCTTATTTCTGGCCCATCTTGCATAATCACAGAACAAACAAAATGAGACCACATTTACGTACTCTCACTCACTCACTCACTCACTCACTCACTCACTCACCCACTTCACTCACTCACTCACTCACTCACTCACTCACTCACTCACTCACTCACTCACTCACTCACTCACTCACTCACTCACTCACTCACTCACTCACTCACTCACTCACTCTCTCTCTCTCTATCGCACTTTTTCGTGAGAGAGAGAGAGAGAGAGCGATATTCAAGTTTCCATCTATTTCTCTCCTCTCTCGCTCTCTCACTGACTGACTCTCACATTCACTCACTCACTCTCGCACACACAGCGCGAGTGAGTGTGAGTGTTGTGTCACTGACTGACTGACCGAGTGCATATGTGTCTTCTGAGTCAGCAGGAATTTATCAGCCACGGACGGCCGGAGAGAGGCAGGCGATCCTGTGTCTGTCATGCCTGGAGGCATCCCGACCCGTGCGTCTCTTTAAATATCATTTTGTATGTCATTTCTTATTACTGATTATCATTATGCTTAATCTGTCTTTTCTTATTTCATCCTGTTTTTTTCTCATCTCTTTCACTTCTTTTTCCGCCATTCTGTCTGTCTACCTTTCATCTATTTATGTGTGTGTCCATCTCCATCTATCTATATATCTATATATCTATATATCTATATATCTATCTATCTGCCTACCTGTGGACCTGAATCTCCATCTATCTTACATCTATCTGTCTGCCTGCCTATGGATCTGTCTCCGTCTATCTTTTATCCATCTCGTTCTCTCCATTTCCTATAGAAACAAGAAAATTAAAATCCACGGCCTGTACACATACAACGCACTTAAAAAAATAATATACACGAGAAAAGAAAAATAAAAAATCGTAATAAACGCTCTTATGGACTTCCAATAAACTCTTTAATGGAAAATAAACATCAAAACTTCACTCAACCGAACATGCTCTGGAAGCTTCGTGCAATCTTGTGCAATAACTGACGAGTGGTTTGCTACACAAATTGTGATGAAAACAAATTATGGAAGTTTTATTTATGTTCATTTTTTCACAATCATTCACAAAAGATGTACAACAGCCAAGTCAACAACAACAACAAAACATTCATATAAAAACAGCATCAAAAACGCCTATCTGTACATCGCGTTGAATTCCACGAAGACGAAGACCCAGCCGTCAATGCCTGGCGCGGATCCGAACGAACCCAGCGCCCCATGTGTTACGGACACTCTGCGGTGCCATATTTCCCAGGCCAAAATACACTCCTCCATAAATCCCAAAACTCGCTTCGTATTCCACAATGCCAACCGCGTACCCGACTAATAACAACTTTATTTCGAGGCATAATTAATTTCTCACACGCCCCCCACAAAAAATAACAATCGCCAATACCGCGTGAATAATGTAAAAACAAAAACAAAAATGAAATATTTATGAAAACATCAACGTCGGCAACTCGCGAGCTGTCACCGGACTCGATATCAGCTGATTTCGGACTCGGTATCAGCTGATTTCGCCCTCCACGTCGCCTCCCCTTCCTATGGACAGCCCAAAACAGAGGAATCGCAGACAATAACATCCTGAAGTGATAAAAAGCAACGAGAGACACTTCCAAACCGCGTACATGCTTATCGTGAATTAAAAAAAATATATAAACAAAGCCGTCCTTTTTCTTTCTGTCATCAGTTTATGCTTTAAATAGACGAGGTCGCCGCCATGGACGCACTGTACATTTTTTTTTATACTTTGTTTTTGGTCAAAATGTAAGATTACACACCGCCCATGAGGAAAACACGATTGTCAGAGAGGTTTATGGTCGCTGCCGTAAATATATATAACTGGAATTATCTACTTGGAATGCATAGCGAAGCCGGCCTCGTCGGAGTGTGCACGGGAAGGGCGTGGAAAATCCCGGCCATATGGGCACCCGTGGGAGCTCTGCGAGGGGAAAGGGGGAGGGGGAGGGAGGGAGGGAGGGAGGAAAGGGAAGAATGGAAGGGGAGGAGGACAGGGAACAGGAGGAAGAGGAAGGGAAGGACGGAGGGAGGGAGGAAGAGAAGAACGGAAGGGGAGGAGGACAGGGAACAGAAGGAGGAAAGAGGAAGGGAGATGGAGGAGGGAGGAAAGAGAAGAACGGAAGGGGGAGGACAGGGAACAGAAGGGGGAAGAGGAGGGAGAGGGAGGAAAGGGAAGAAGGGAAGGAAGGAAACTAGGGAAAAGCCAGGGAGGAGGAGGCTGAGGAGGAGCCAAGGAGGAGGATGAAGGGAGAGAGGAAACTGGGCAAGAGTGAGGGAGGAGAAAGGAAGGAGGAGGAAGCTGAGGAAACAGAAATGCTGGAAAGACATAGGGCGAAAAACGGGGGGAAAAGGAGGGATGGCGAGAAAGGCAGTGGATGGAAAAGAAACCAGAAAAAGGGAGTGAGTGAGGGAGTGAGAGAGGGAGGGAGGAAAATGGTGGGAGAGGGAGAGAGATATAAGAGGGATAGGGATCGGAAGAGAGAAAGAAAGGCACAGGGAAATGAAAGAGAACCATAGACAGATAGAAATGAGGATCAAAAAAGAGAGAGAGAAAAGAGAAAAGAAGAGAGAGAGAGAGAGAGAGAGAGAGAGAGAGAGAAGAGAGAGGAGAGAGAGAGAGAGAGAGAGAGAGAGAGAGAGAGAGAGAGAGAGAGAGAGAGAGAGAGAGAGAGGAACGAGTGGGTGAGAAAGAGAGCAGCTGCCTTCTCTTTCCTATAGTGACTTCGCTGTTATACACAAAACACGAGAGTTTCGTCTACCATTTACCCATTTTTTTTTGTCTTAAATCTTTTCCTTTTCCCTTCATATACTTTTCCCGCCTACCTTTTTTCGCTCGGGCTATGTACAGAAACATTTTCTACAGGTTTCTGAAGACCAGCTTAATTTTGCATCGGGAGTGATTGTATAAAGGGTAGAAATTTTCCATTATTTTAAGTTTTTGTCATAGTAGAGCTTGGGAAAACAAACAAACACACACACAAGAAATATAAAACACACAAGACACACACGCACACACACACCATAACAAAAACACATAAAACACACAAGTCACACACACACACACAAAGACGCACACACACACACACACAACACACACACACACACACACACACACACACACACACACACACACACACACACACACACACACACACACACACACACACACACACACACACACCACACACACACACACACACACACACACACACACACACACACACACACGCACACACAACCCCAAACCCAAATCCTCCAACAGGCCTTCTAACAGCGCCGCCAGAGCAGCGAGAGATACCCAGACCTTTTACTGCGAGGAAACTAAATAGACAGATCATTCATATCTAATAGCCCAAGGACGCAATCAGTTCAATCGACTGAGGTTCTCGTCGACCGAGCTCCTCCTCCTTCCCAACGCTGCAGGTTTTAGATCATATATCGTTATATATATATATATATATATATATATATATATATATATATATATATAAATATATATATATATATATATATATAGAGAGAGAGAGAGAGAGAGAGAGAGAAGAGAGAGAGAGAGGGAGAGAGAGAGAGAGAGAGAGAGAGAGAGAGAGAGAGAGAGAGAGAGAGAGAGAGAGAGAGAGAGAGAGACGAGAGAGATTACATAGATGAGAGAGAGAAACATAAATATAAATAAAATAAATATACATAAAAATAATATAATATATATACATCCATCCATATATATATAATATATACAATAAATAAATAAATAAATAACATACAAAAACACACAGACGCACACACACTTAAAACCTCCAGACCAGCCCTGATATTCCCAAATCCTTCATTAATCGCCAGTAACATCGCTCAGTTCGCCCGAGACGACGACGACCAACCAACGACCGTCTGAGTAATCTCCGGACGCGATCCACGGGGAGGAGGAGGAGGAGGAGGAGGAGGAGGAGGATGAAGGGGAGGAGCGAGGATGAAGAGAGGAGGAGGATGAAGGAGGAGGAGAAGTGAGAGGAAGGTGGAGGAGGAGGAGGAGATGAAGAGGGCGGAGAGGAGGAGGAAGGAGGAGGAGGAGAGGAGGAGGCAGCAGTGAGA